TTCTAACACAGCCCTTCAAAATAAAAGAAAAATGATTTATGGAGTCACCTAGTGGCGTGGAAGGAGTGAGTCGATCATCAGATATTGTCCAAGATTAACCTTCAGGGTGGATATAGCTCACTAGCAGCCTTGCACCGAGGACCTATCCATGTTATCATTTACCCAGAATGCTTTGTGTGTAAATAAAATGGCTCCGTCCGTGTTAAAACATATTTTAAAAAATGTACTAAACTAAACAGCCTAGTATCTTTACAGTCTTTATTTTATAGTTAAAATATATGTTTATCAAATAAAGTCTAATGTTACAACTAATCAGAGATCCCTTTAAGATCCATACAGTTTGCAAAGACTTGCACAAAATGTAAGAAATCCTAATTTATGCTAAACGAAAGCTTCAATCTCAGGTTTTTGATGCCAGAGACTGCACAACAGCCCATGGAATGTACAACTACATCTGCAACCACATCAAGTATGCCACCAACAAAGGCAACCTCAGGTAAAAACACGCCTGAATGTTCAGATTATCTCATAGTTTGTCCCTTTTTTATGCCATTTTGCTACAACTCTGCCCGTGTTCCTCCTCTCCTTCTTCCATCCATCTGTCACTCAACGTAGCTCATCACCCCTTCTCCATCTCTGACTACCCGGCTTTGACCTGCAGTCCCATCTGTCAGTGTGCTCTCTGTCCCTTAGCGCTGTTATCTGACACTATCTGCTGCCCGTCTATTTATCCATCGGTGTCTCAGCACCACTCATTGCCCGGCTGGCGAGGCGGCAGACCTCGCTAACAAGCAGTCATTTGTCAGACCTGCACCACGCTCGCAGTCCTCCTGCCGAGCCCTAATCACATGTGACATCTCACATTTACTTCATGGGAGTTGGACGGGTTCTGACTCATTACTACACTTAGCCCGGCCTTCTGTCGCCAGTGCGGGTGCACACGCTGAAAAGACAAATGAGACTTTGATTCTCTTTGTTCTATAAAAACAAAAAGGCATAACAAGTTTCTTTCTAAAAAAAAAAGTTTGATTTGACTTAAGCCTAGCCTGGACCTTGCCTTCCTACGCTCAATTCTAGTTTCCCTTCACTGCTCTGTCTGGCATTTCTCCCATAGACTAGGATTTCGCTGGCAGATTTTTAGCCGGGCCAATCAGAGAAGAGAGCGTTGATTTTCTGTGCAGTGTCTGCTTGTTGTTTATTTTACCTGGACCAATCAACAAACAGAAGGCGGGGTTTTGAATGATGTCAATGTTCTGCGCAGTGTCTGCTAGTTATTTTAGCATACGGCAGTGGAGGAAGTGAATGAAGGCAGTCTGTGTTGATAAGGCTTCCAAATTAAAATAAATTTGTCTGACAAAGCAGCAGCTCTCATTTAYAGTCGTCTCGTTCGGCTCGGTACTTCTCTCCTCTCAGTAGGGTTGTTTACAGCACACGCGATTTCCGGTTAGCTTCTTAGCTTAGCCTCCGTCACAGCGACATACGTCGCAGCCAACTGATCCAACCATTTTAAGATTCAGCAGAGGCCACATCTCCTGCAAGAAATAGATTCTCTATGCATCAAGTCCAGACCCTTGTACAAAGCAAAGTGAAGGACAGGGGGTCTGGTTTAAACCAGGCTAGCATTTCTGGTCCCCACCTGTCGTTTTGCTCCTCAGCATGGCTTCCTAAAAACGCTGCAGGATTTCTTAAACATGCACGAATATGTCAAAGCAAGGCTTTGGGCATGTTTTTTTTTATTAGAGTATAACATTATAACATGATATAAAACTCAAAAAAGTTGATTTTACATGATATTGCCCTTTTAACAAGTTTCTTTCTAAAAACAGTTTTATTTGACTTAATAAGCCACATGCTTTTGGTTTGAAGCTGTGAAGCAATGCCTCATACATCAACCATAAATTCTAATAAATACGTCCATGTCCAAGTTTTTCTTTTTGTTTGTTTTAAAAGCATGGTTAAGTCTGAGCAGTTATAAGTTTTGATTTGTTACAATCAGTGTCACCAGTGAAAAGGAGTTCTCACCGCCTGGAATCATGTTTCTTATTTATTCTTAAACGAATCAAAGATTCTATTCTTGTAGGATCTTGCATAACAGAATTCCTTACAGTAATGTGATTATTAGTTTGTGACAAATGTGCCAAATTCTGGGCTCGGATAACCCTCGGCTGATCACATAAATTGTTGCCAGGAATAGAAGTGAAGTCTTATTGTTGATGATCGACTGCACTTCACCAGGGATTAGTGGGTTGTTTCTTTTCAGTGCGACTGTGTGCACGACTGGCCCAGATTCAGACCAGCTGCTCAGCCGTGCCGTCACACCCTCCACTGTTACTTACACCCGGCTTAGCAGTAATAACACTTTTACCCAATCGGAGCGTTTAAACTCTATTGTGATGCAGATCAGACCAAAGGTAGCGGAGCTATACTCTGTTTTTTTGATGCAATATGGCTGATCGGTACGGTCTCATCCGTCACCGTTGTATTCATGATTATTCAATTCAGTTTATTTCTATAGCGCCAAGTCACAACATGCATTGTCTCAGGGGGCACTGTACATGAAAAAAAGAAAAACAATCTAAAGATATCTTTGCTGATGAAGTATGAGGCTGAGATGGGTAGAGCAGCACTACTTCAACATATTTTTACTCAAAAACTGAGCCGTCTTAGAAATGACTCAAATAAAAGTAAAACTGTATTTTGTAAAAAGGCTACTTGAGTAACTGATCATAACATCTATTAAATATTTTAAAATGATGTCATCAGACTGAATAAAAATACAACGTCGTGTAAATTCTTGTGTTTTTAAAGACTAAAATGAAGAAAATTAATACAAAATAACATAATTACAAAATAAGAAATACCAGCAGAGGAAATACCTTTTCAAGTCAAATTCTTCTCATTATGAAACTTATTACTTACCGTAGCCAAACTGCCTCAAACATTGTCTATAAAAACAAGGTTTCACTTCAACATAAACCAGGTGTGTCTCTGGTGCATTTCTGGTTAAAACATGTTTGTTCTTCATTCAGGGAAGTTACGGTGGATAAACTGAAAAAAGTGTCCATCTAACCAAGTCTCACAATCTTTTATATATATA